GCGCGGGCTGCACGCGGCAGGCGGGTCTGCCCCCGCGCAGATAGAGGAAGTCGGCGGACAGTGCTGAGTTCCCTGCGCCTGGGGCCTTTGCTCCTTTCTCGGTCTCCCGCTCCCGCCCCGCTGCCCCTGTCGGCCTCCTGTGGCTCGTGGTGGGTGAGTAGCTGCCTGGCGCCGGCATTCGGCTCCTGCGCCCTCCTAGGAGTGTGCGACGAGCTCCAAGTTCGGGAGCCCTGCCTGCGGAGCGCGGTGCCCGCCGCCGGCCCAGCCCTTCAGGTGGGGTTGCAGATCGCCCGCGGCCCAGACGCCTCCGGAGGGCTTACCGTTTGGAGCCTCCGGGCACGCACGGGGCCGGGGCGGGATTGCTGGGGACCCGCGTGGCCCCGTGGTTCACTCCCTTTGCCCAGAGGCCCTGGCCTAGGGGATAGGGTGGGAAGAGGCTTTGTCGTCTCCGCTTCACGTGAGCCTCGGGTTTGGCGGGAGGCAGTGGGGCCTCAGCCGACCGTGATGTGGGGGCGCGTAGTGGGGCCGACTCGGACATCCCCGCCCACGGGTCGGTTAGACGGGAGGCCTCTGGGTCCCACCCCAGAGATGAGAAAACTCGCGGGAATGGACAGGTTCAGCGCCGGATCCTGAACCTAAATGGATTCTGGTCTAGAGCGCTTTCCCCAACACCTGTTTATAGTAGTACTGCCTTAGTGTGGACAGAGTGCTCTTTTAGAACTGTTGAAAATGATGTGCAAGTACTGGCTGGTGGTAGAAAACAGTTTGTTGAATGACTCAGTGACCCCAGGAGACCCTGGGAGAGCCCTGAAATCATTGCAACCAAGTGGCTGGGCTGGCAGAGGTTTATTTATTCATTCGCCCACCAGTAAAACCGTGCAGCCGGTGCTGGGGCAGTGGTGGAACAGAGAGAGGGACCAACTTGAGAAGTACAGGCCTTTGTAAAGCCTTTGTAAAGTTGGCTATGGGTTTGGGCCTAGGCCTTCTGGGATTAGATAGGCCTTCATCTGGTGGGCCTGGGAGAGGCTGAAGAGACCCGGTATCGAGCGCCCCTACCTTTTCAGGTAACTGCCTAATTCTACCACCAGGCTTGCCTGCCCTTCCTGCCAAGTTTCAAGCCTCACTCAATGGAATCTCATCTGGCCTCTCTAGAGGGGAACTAGGGAAGCTGCAAAAGGATGCTCTTTTTCCTCATTACATCTCCATCCATCTGGGGCACATGGTAGGCCCTGACCTGGGGAGAGCTCTTTGGCCCGACTCTGTGCCATCGTGAGGCTTGGGAGTCCACTGGGAGTTATGGGTGACTGTACCTGGAAGAGTCAGATCTCAGAGCTAGGAGGAAAGAGGGAGGGGAGTAGTCTGCTTTTAAAAGTTTAGGTTGTGAAAAATAAATAAATAAATAAATAGATAGATAGATAGATAGATAAATAGATAAATAAATAAATAAAAGTTTAGGTTGAGCAAAAGAAAAGTTTAGGTTGGCAGACCCCTAGTGAGGTGTCATTGGGAGGAAGACACCTGCTGCCCAGAGTGTGAGCTCTTTTGTCCCTCTCATGGGGGGAAGAAGAGGAGACCTGTGAGCACTTCATGACTGGGGCTTAAAGGCAGTGTCTAAGGGACTCTCTTGAGATCCTGGGTGCCTGTGCTGTTCACGAGGGACAGGGTGCTGTTTGTGGGAATGGAGACAAACTGGTGACTGATTCGTTGGGAGGCAGGCCTTGGTGGTTTGGTACAAAGAGTTGTGGGAACATGGAGTGGGTTGCTGTTCGTTTTGTCTGAGGAAATTCGGCTATCTGAGGTGGGCTGTGAAAGATGAATAGGAACTTGCCAACTGGATAAGAAGGGAAAGCGCACTCAGGGCAGCACAGGGAATGCTGGGGGACTGTTGCCGAGGTGGGTGTCTCTAGGTGGGAAGGGGCATTGCATACCCTGCTCCAAGGCATTGCCCAGGGATGCTCACAGCCTTAGCCAACCTGAGAAACTAATTGGAGGAGCTGGAGGTTCCATGCATTTGCAAATGAGAATGGAGCCCCAGCAGTGCCCAGGCTTCTGGACTCAGGAGGGATGAGGGCATACGGAGGAGAATGGACATCTGGTGATGGAGCCTTCCAGGGCAGGACTCTTGGCCTTGCAGAAGGGTATTGAATGATATTCTCTTTTCGTCTAGTGTAATGTAGAGGGATTGGGGACTGGGACAGGAGGCTGTAACTCTTGTCAGTTTTCAAGGCCAAGCAACCATCCTGATCAAAGACTGTGTGCATCCTAGTGGTGGAACCCAGGAAATGGGCTCTGGACTGTCAGCACATGAGAACCCTCACTCTAGAGTTGTAGCTACTGGAAGTGCTTTCTATGGTTGCATCTCTGATGACCATTTGCCAGGCTGGGGCTGTCAAGGGCAGCACAGTCCTGGAATGCCCCCTGAGGCCAACTGCCGACCCCATTGGGCCTCCCATGCGCAGAATGTAATTAGCAGCACCTTGGCTGCCACATCTGGCTGGTCACCTCCCAGAGGCCACACATATTCTTGCCCAAAGCCACTGACAGGTATGAACAGGACAGCTAGTCGAGGATGGTGATGCTGAAACATACAGAGCTCACTGTGAGTTAGATGCACTCACAGAGAACTTTATGAGCATTAATTAGCTTGTTTGGACATCCTGGTAATCAGATACTAGGTTATCCCTATTCTTCAGATAAGGAAACTGAGGCATAGAGAGATTAAGTAACTTGCCCAGGGATACAGCTGAGGGAGTCAGACACCAGATTCCTAGCTCTAACCATTACACTACTTTAGAGTCTCACCTTACTGATCCAGTCCCCAAATCCTGCCCATCTTGAGGAGCAGAGGGAAGGACCATGGTCTTTCTGTGATTCCCCTCTCTTGCAGGCAGCCCGGGTGATGAGGCAGGAGTGATGTGCATGGGAGAGGGCAGTGCTTCACAGGGCAGTAACCCTCTCAGTGGGATGTCTTCCCAAGAGCCATCCCATAAGCCCCCCAGACCTCTACCCCTGGCTTATTCCTTCCCCCTCCTCCCTTCTTCTCTTCCTGCCTGCATTGGTCAAAATGGGGGTTTCATATGAAAGGCAAACATGGTCATCTGCATAAAGCACAAAACAACCACTTCTGGAGATTCTGCTGCCTTGCAAATCGATTCTAGGTTGGCTTTTTGGGTATTTGTGCCCAGGGTCCTAGAAGCTATCAAGTTAGAAAATCAGGAGGTGGATTGTTTAAATTACCCTCTCCTCTTAATAATCCATTAGATTTAGGGATGGTGAAGGTGGTGCTGGAGGTGGAGTTTTAAAGGGGAAAAGACTACAGCCATGCCACCCTGAATAAGCCTGACCCTGTCTGATCTTGGAAGCTAAGCAGGGTCAGGCCTGGTTAGTACTTGGATGGGAGACCACCTAGGAAGACCAGGTGCTGTAGGCGTAAAAAATAAGGAATTGTAAGCTGACAAAGTCCTTGCAATCTGTGAGGTAAACCAAGGGTTGCCTCGCCTAAAAAAAAAAAAATAATAATAATAAAAAAAAAAGGGAATAGAGTACCCTTGGAGTCATAGACTAGTTCACAAGGGGACAGGTAACCTCAGGCTCATAGAGTAGCTGCATTGAAACTGCCCTGGTAGGCAGTCTGCCCTGGCAGAAGAATGTTGGTACTAAGGAGAGGGCTGCTCAGAAGTCTGGTGGCAAAGTTACTATGGAGCTTTTTGCAAGGCTTCGTGCCTGGGCTTCTGCCTAATCTGGATAGGGCCCCCAGCTGGCAGTTAATAAACTCAGGCCTTGGTAATGGTTGTGCTGACCAGTAGACAGGTCAGCATTCACCTTATATGCTCATGTGTTTCTTCAGAGGAAGGGAAGTGAGTGCTGTGTCTTGGGTCCGGTGCAGGCCAATCTTTGGCGTTTAAAATGCAGTGTATGTGTGTAGGGGGTCTGACTTGCTTGATCTTCCCACCCTGTGCTTGTCCTATGTGGACCCTTGGCCCTGAGTTTTATCTGAGGCCAGTGATATGTTGCTGTTAATGGGTATCTCTGCATCCATATTTGGTTTAATTTGCATAACCATATACCATTTTAATTTTCATGCTGATTCTGTGAAGTTCTGCAGATGCGAAACATCTGTGCTGGGAGTGTTTGTCACATATATGCTCATGTCTGCATCGGAAGGCCACAGGCCTGGGTCCAGCACTGACCATGTCTCAGGAGCTCCTGTTTGGAGCTCTCTCTACATACCCCCACCCCCCACCCGTGCCACACACACACACACACACACACACACACACACACACACACACACAAAGTGAAGAGAGAGACCTTTGAGTGGCCATTACATGTTGAGCACTTTCCTTGTTACCTTGTTTGATCCCATGAGGCAGGGGGTATCCCTTTTTACAGATGGAAAAAGTGAGGTCACTTGGCAAGTGCAGAGCCAGCTATGAGGCCCTCCACCTGTCCACCTTTAGAGGATTCCTATCTGGGCTAGGAATATGTGTGCCTTTTAACATGCTGCTTTGCCCTAGAGACTTAAGGAGTTGAGCTTTTTGGGGGGGTGGGGGAGGCGGTATTTTTGTTTCTCAGAGCCAGCTAAGTCAGAGCTGGGGGAACTGGAGTCTAGTTATATGGGCTGGGACATCAGGAGAACGGGTTGGAGTAGGGACTCAGTTTCAGGGAGGGGTGCAGGGGAAGCGGGTAGCAGGTGGGAATAGAAAGGGAGCTGAGGCATGATGAAGGGACTTGGGAGGCAGCAGTCTTGTGTCCCTCCTGGGAGTGAGTGTAGGAGAGGGACATGGAGCTAAGTAACTCTGGTCCTATGAAAATAAAACCAGGCCTGAGGCCTCAGCATATATGTGCCTCAGTTTTGGAGAAGGCCAACTGGGCAAGTGAGTCACACCCACCAGCCGTCCCTCTCAGTGTTGGCGAATGCATTAGTAATAAAGGAGTGGCCATCTGGGAAGTCAGATCTGTATCTCAAGGGACTGAGAGAGGCCCCCATACCAACAGGGCATCTCCTTGGAAACAGGAAGGCTGCTGGGGGCGGTTCAGATGGGGAACCTGAGTTTTGGGTGCTGGCTTCTGGTGGAGGTCACTGCTTTGGGACTGGCCCTCTTCTGGTCCCAGCTGCCTCTTTGTGTGTGGTGGGATGGTAGGGGGTGAGA